AGCAGCAGCAGCAGCAGCAGCAACATCATTGTTGTTGTAAAGTTAGAAATTCGTATGTTAAGTACAGCTTTTGACATTTGCCTTGTATTAAAAACATTGATCAACATTTTGTCAAAGCATTTCGGCTTCGTCGGGAACATGATTGAATGATAAAAACGATACCATAGCAAAAAGGCGTTTACTTATAATAATGAATGTTCTTAGAGGTACCTACGACTAAGACTTTTTTTAAATATAGGAAATAGTTTAGGCTAATACTGGGAATATCTGACTAATTTATTCATTCTCGACACCAGAGTGGGCTTTGCATTCATCATCATCATCCTCATCCTCATCATCACAATCATCATCATCATCATCATCATCATCATCATCATCATCATCATCATCATCATCATCATCATCATCATCATCATCATAAGCAGCTTGATCGTCAGTCTCATTGTTGTCATCCTAGAAGCGAGATAATAGTTAATTTCTAATCAAGGGTGTTCTGAACTGGGGACCCCAATGACAGAGAGTAAGCGAGGCTAGTACCATAGTTTCTCACTCTTTTTCTCAAAGTGTACTATGTTCGTGTTGGATGTCTTTAGAACTGCGAGTTTGAGGGCGTCACTGGCAAATCTTTTCTTTTTACTGAATCTCTCTCGTGATTTGGGCGATTTTCTTGCTTGTGTTCTATGATCGTTTTGGTGTTCTATAGAACTGCAAAGGGCAAGTCCTCTGTCTTACTCTTACAATCTCTTTGTTGATTTGTTTGATGATTTTCTTGGTTTTTCGCTCTGAACTGGTTGACACATCGTCATTGTGTGCCTGTGTTTTTGTGTGTCAACAGATAATTAGCTTCATATTATCTCATCATTTGTTTGTTTAAAACAATGTTTGTGTTTTTTAGTTAAGTTGGTGATAGAATCAACCCGCAGGCTCTAAAAATGTTACTTTGGTGGATTATTTCAAGACTCTCTATCTAACGTCGCTACGTCTAATATGTAACAAATGAACTTAGCAAGCAAAACATACAGTTGGTACGGGTGTCGTTGGTGGTGGTGGTGTTGGTGGTGGTGGCGGTGATGTTGTTTTTGTTGTTGGTGGCGATGTTGTTTTTGTTGTTGTTTTGTTTTTGTTTTAAAAACTTTGCAGCACGCTGTGGTGTCCGTAAATGGAGTTAGGAGTAAGTTCTTCTTCTTTACTATCAACGAGTGTTTCTGTCTTTCTTGCTTTTCCAGCATAAAATCCCTGTCATCATGTGAATTTGCTTCCCGTGATTCAGTAACTATATTAAGTTAAGGCCTCCCCCTTTTTTATTGATATGGTGTCTTATATTTTACTTTAGAATATACCACAAGGTGGATCCTTTAGTTTGTTAGCTTTTTCAAAGTTTTGGTAGGAGTTTTACGGCACTTGCATAGCAGTTAGGGAATACAAATGCCGAGAGTTAAATGTGTAACTTAAGGATAACATTACAGAAAATGAGGAGAGATAATGACGATAGATGTTTGAAAAGAAAGAAGGAGCGTCTGCCAACCTCCCAAAGGTAGGCCCTTTGAGATAGAGCTGTATTTCTTCTTATGGTATCAAGAGCTTCACTTTGCCATTCAAGATTGAATTTTCTCAGAATCAAAGGAGTTTTAGTGGTACCCTAAAACATCACAAGTCATTTTGAAGAGCGTAAAAAGAAACGTTTTAAAAACAAAACATTAAAAGAAACCGTATCAGTATTACACATTATTTATTTCTCTAAAAAAAATGTGACATTTATGCAAAAACTGCATACGACAGTGATAACATCAACAATTATCGATCAAACAGAAAGTGGTCAAAGATCATATCTCCTCGAGCTCTGTCTGCTACTATTAATAACCCATTTATTGCTCCTTTTTGTCAACACAATAAAACAACTGCAAAAAATATTGACCCTCGCAGGAATCATATTTTTATAATCATCATTTTCATTTTTAAAGCACATAACGAGACTGTATAATTTTTTATTGCACTAACCCTTCGCCTCTCTCTCTCTCTCTCT